TTAATTAATTCCACAATTTTAATAAATTGTAAACTTGCAGATCAAATTTTTGAAAATGATAGTTATCCTTCTAATAGTTACAAGATTAGTGGTATCAAGAAGTCTCTTTTCTGTTTGGCTTCAGTGGTCTAAACAATGTCCACGTTTTATACACATTAACTATCTACATAGCATTGGCTGTTTGGCCTCAAGATCATTTCCCCACAGTGTGAGAAGTTTGCTATTTAGTTTCATACTAAGTCACTTTAGCTTATAATACATATACAAAGTTAAGTTCTAGTATACTGTACCACATACTTAAACCTGAAACAAATTATCGTTGATAAAAGTGTTTTAATTGGAGGGTGGGGGAGGGAGTAGGAAACAAAGAGGAGCTTATACCAAGGGCTTAAGTAGAAAATGTTTTGGAAATGATGATGGCAGCATATGTACAAATATGCTTGGTACAATTGACGTATGGAATATTAAAAGAGCAGTGAAGAGTCCCAGATAAAATGATTTGTAAAAAATGTTGAAATAGATAAAATCTCTCCAGTGTTCCAATTTCAAAAGACAGATATATTTTCTTTCATTCAGCCTTCCAACTCACGGATATTCAGGAATGAGAAGCTCGAAGACTCACAGCCAAATAGTGAGAGAGAACGCCACTGAGATTTAGGATTAAACAAAAAAAGCTGGTTGATACAGGCTACTAAAGTGAAGTTATTAATAGTGACTAAAAATAGAGAGGGGGTAGGGCAATACTTAAGTCCCAAAGTTACCAAGACTGTTATTTATGTTACAGCCACTTCTTCTGTGGATCTCCTTAATCACCTTCTACATATATTCCCCAAATCTGGTCTTCATATGTAGCCAGAATAATCCTTGAAAGATATAAACTAAATCATATTACTCTCTTGTCAGATCATGAGTGAACCTTGTAAGCTTATGGAATTTGGTGAAAACTGATAGAAAAACTAAACTAGAAAAGCGGTAATATAAAAAATTTTAATCAACAGCAGGGCAGGGCCTATTACTAGAAAGTCAAATAATTTCATTAAATCTAGTGAATGTTAAACTATTGCATCACAAAATAATATTTAATGTCCAGAATAATGGCACTAACATAAAAAAGTTAAATGTTTTAATATATTCAGTTTATGGTAAGCATGTAACAATGAAGAACATAGCACATTTAAAAATATTTATCTGTGCAATGGCTAAAATTACAGAGAAACACATTTTCCAAAGTATCTGTAGGGTTGTTGTTATTCCAATTACAGCTAACCCAAATCTTAGTATCTCCAATGTGAAGGTAAAGACTCACAGGACATGGTCCCGAACATGTGCTTGTTTAATGCCCTTTACCAGCAGGAGGGCCAGAGACCATTTCCTACTCTCAAAGAGGGATGGGGCTGCTTACATGTTAGACTATAGTAGGGCCTAAGAGGAAGATGTAGATGTCTCTTAGCACAGAAAAATATCATATTTCACATAGGTGAGCGAAGAATGTTATGACTGTCCAAAAAGAATAGGGGCTCCAGAAGCCAATTTCTACGGAGCTGAGACCTGCATCAAATGCTTATAAAACGGGGCTGTGTTCGTCACAGGTGAACCCAAATGCCTTTTCTACATATGAAAATAAGGAAGATAAAATCTTAACTGCAATATTGTAAAGGGAGAGGGGATAACAAACCCAGGGACAAGGGAACAACAAGCGATCCAAATTGGTGGGGAGGTGGGTGTGGGAGACCTGGTAGGGTAGGATCAAGGGGAACGTAACAAAGAGGAAGTGCTGAAATCCTGGTGGGGACTGAGCATGATAGTGGGACAGGAGGAGAATCAATGGAAATAGAG